AACTGTGGAAAATTCTGAAAGAGATGGGAATACCAGACCACCTGACCTGCCTCTTGAGAAACCTGTATGCAGGTCAGGAAGCAACAGTTAGAACTGGATATGGAACAACAGACTGGTTCCAAATAGGAAAAGGAGTAAGTCAAGGCTGTATATTGTCATCCTGCTTATTTAACTTATATGCAGAGTACATCATGAGAAACGCTGGTCTGGAAGAAGCACAAGCTGGAATCAAGATTGCCAGGAGAAATACCAATAACCTCAAATATGCAGACAACACCACCCTTATGGCAGAAAGTGAAGAGGAACTAAAAAGCTTCTTGATGAAAGTGAAAGAGGAGAGTGAAAAAGTTGGCTTAAAAGCTCAACATTCAGAAGTCCTCTTGAAGGTCACCATTAACCCTGCAATAGAGTCCACAGACCCCAGGGATGAGCTGCCTCAGGCCAAACCCCACCCATCAGCAGATAATTGGATTAAAGTTTTACTAAGCATGCCTCTGCCCACCAGAGTAAGACCCAATTTTTCTCACTACCAGCCTCTCCCATGAGGAAGCTTATACAAGCTTCTCAGCCTCCTCCATCAGAGGGCAGACAGAAGAAGCAAGAATTACAATCCCACAACAGCTAGAAAACCACTAGTAGCTGGAAAGTTAACCAGGATGAAAAAGCAGAGGGTTTTGTCCCAGATGAAAGGGCAAGTAAAGTTCCAGAAAAACAACCAAATGAAAAAAAATCAGAATATTGATAGTGAAGATGATCTAGGATCTCTGAAAAAGAATGGAAGCAAAGATTGAGAAGATGCAAGAAATATTTATCAAAGACCTAGAAGAACTAAAGAACAAACACAGATGTACAATACACTAGAAGAACTCTAGAGCAGAATAACTGAGGCAGAAGATAAGATAAGTGACCTAGAGGACAGAATGGTAGAAATCACTACCACAAAACAGAATATAGAAAAAAGAATAAAAAGAAATGAAGACAGCCTAACTCACCTCTGGGACAACACTAAATAACACCAACATTCACATTATTGGGGTCTCAGAAGGAGAAGAGGGAAAGGACCTAAGAAACTACTTGAAGAGATAACAGCTGAAGATTTGCCTAGCATGGGAAAGAGAACAGTAAACCAAGTCCAGGAAGCACAGGGCATCCCCAGCAGCATAAACCCAAGGAGGAGCACACTAAGACAACATAGTAATCAAATTGACAACAACTAAATACAAATACAAAATATTAAAAGCAACAAGGAAAAAACAACAAACAATATACAAGGGAACTCCCATAAGATTATCAGATGATATCTCAACAAAAACTCTACAAGCCAGAAGGGAATGACATGATATATTTAAAGTGATGAAAGGGAAGAACCTACAACCAAGAATACTCTACCAGCAAGACTCTCCTTCAGATTTGATGGAGAAATCAAAATCTTTCCAGACAAGCGAAAGTTAAGAGAATTCAGCACCACCAAATCAGCTTTACAACAAATACAAAAGGAACTTCTCCAGGCAGAAAATATGAGAAGGAAAAGGCCTACAGAAAATGAGCCCAAAATAATTAAGAAAGTGGTAAAGGATCACACGTATCAATAATTTCCTTAAATGTAAATGGATTAATTGCACCAACCAAAAGACATTTACAGTCAGGGCAGAGGAGAACATGTGCATGTATGTACTTCCACTTATCACATCACTCTACTTAACCCACCAAATTATATGTAATTATTTTCTATTGCTAGGTTAATCATGTTTTCATTGTGGCTTGTAATTGTAAATTATCTTTTATTTTTTGTCTAGCTATTGACTGTGAAAACTGATAAACATTTTTTTACTATTGTGATTATGTAGCATATGTGATATGCTATTATGTAGAATATGTGATACAGTATTATTAACTAAAGTACAGATTTTCTTCAAATTTCACAAAATTTTATGCTAGTATCCACTATTTGTTTTCATATCTTATTCAAGACTTCACATTGTATTTAATTGCATTGAGCAGCTTCAGCTGCATGCAAAAAATTCTGGTAAATTTCCTTTTCATTTTTATTCTATTACAAGTATTTTCTAATTTTCCTGGTTATGGCTTCTTAGATATACCCATCATTTAAAAGTGGACATTTAATTTCAAAATACATGGGATTTTGTTTAAAGTACCTTCAATATTAATTTCTCATTTTGATACTAATTTCTCATGTAAATACTTTCTTCTTTGCAATCATCCTCTGTGTTTTTTTTAGTCTAACTTTATTGAGGCTTTTGATGGCTAAGTCAAAGATCTCTCCTGATAAATGTCACACGGCACCTGAAAATATGTTATTTTCAAATATCATTTGATATCAATTTCTAACATAATTCCACAGTGATAAGAGAATAGACCCTGCATGATTTCAAAATTTTTAGACCATGAAATTTTGGCACCTTGTTTTATGTCCCTGGATACATTCCAGTGTCTCCTAGTTTACAGTCTATAGGAACTTGAATAAAATTTGTATCCTACTATTGTGTGAAAATTGTATAAATTTTAATTATGCTGAATCGGTTCACAGTGCTTTTCAGATCTACTATACCCTTCTACTTCTCTATATTCTATTAATTTATGAGAGTTTGAAACTCCAACTAAAAATCTTAACTTCTCTACTTAAAAAAAAATTATAATATATAGTGGAACTATATGTAACATTGTTCTGTATTTTCCAAGTCTCCTGTGAATGTGTTATAATACTTCCACAATTTAAAAAAATTAAAAATTAAAAGATAAAAACAAAGCTACTCAGATGCTAATGCCCTGGGATCAATTTTTAATGAATGAATAAAAGGAAAAAAATGTATATTGAGAGATGATGATCATAGACAGGATATGGTTCAGGGTGTGCTAAGGATCCCACAGGAAGGGGCAGGAAAGTAATGTTCCATTTTAGCCAAGAATGTTTCTCTATTAACATCAGTAATGGTAAAGAGAAACCTATAAAAGAAATTCCCCCCACAAACACCTTAGGAAACATTCTGAATTGCATGTACTGCATAAACATTTTCTCTCAAATAAAAGATTTGACAATTGAGGGACATACAGCCCTCAATGGTATCTGATAACATCAAAATCAATTATTTTTAACTGATACAGTAACAGGCAAATACCTACCATATGAGCTCAGCATTAAGAGCAAGTTCAGATCCAACAAAAAAATTTTACACTTGTCATATTTTTTATGACAGGCAACACAAAATTTAATTAGACCAACTGACACTATTTTTTGTAACTGATAATAATCAACAGAAGTATCCTACCTGGCGTCAGTTTAGGCAGTCAGTAAATGTTAACTCCATTTGATTATGTCAAGGTCACAAACTGCCTAGTCTTAGGGATTAGAAAATCTTTCCTTTACGATATATATTCATTCAGTGACTACTTATTGCAAACTTCTCAAAATCCTTCAAACCTAACTTGTTCCAAGTTCAAGCCCAAACTCCTCAGCCTGGATTTCAGGATTTTGGTTGAACTACCTCCATTCAGACTCAGTGTGGGTAAAAGCAAAACCTTCAGAGCTGAGGCAAGTAATGAATGAATGAAGCAGGCACTTCAGCCATGGGGTCAAGGGGCACAAGAGGCTGTGACTACACCATGGGGATCTGTTTGGTTCCAGCTACTTGTCATATGCACCAAGAATGTGGACTCAGGACTTAGGTGTACTCTTTCAATTTTTAAGTGTGGAAAACTCATTTAAATATAAAGCATGGGGCCAGCCAAATTATAGCTACCCATGAATCACCAGCAGACAGTAGTTCAGCATCCTCACCTCTACACAGAGAAAACTGATGTAACAAAAGGCCATGGACTGCTCCAAGCTTCCCATATGATGAGCGACAGCCTGCAGATCCCTTGGTCTCAGAGAAGGGCTAGGCTTCCAGTCACATTCTCACAGAAATATATTCCTTCAGCTCTTCAACTTGCCAAATCTTCAGGGGCAGCTCAGGCAGCTCCTCCTTTGAAAGCCTTCCTTCACTCTTTTAGGCCCTGGAATCACTGGGCACATAACCATGATTGTGTTTTAACTGTGCTGATGACAATTTACTACTTGATGAATGTATAGCTCATGAATGGACCAGAGGAGTCTGAGAAAAGGCTCCAGGCAAGACAAGTCACACCTCCAAGATCAGGGCTAGGTACAGCCTAACACCATCAAGGCAGCTCCAGTAAAAAATAAAAGAAATGGGTCCATCCTATAAGAGCTAGGAAGAAATTTTAGGACTCACCTCATCCCTAGTAGTCAGGAGCCCTGGGACCATGTTCTTAGTCTGGTGAGTGCTCTTCTTAGAGAAGACTTGTTGCATAGGCAGAGCTGGAGAAACAGAAAAGAAGTAAAGGGATGTGTGGGAGGAATATCCATCTATCCAGCCTCCCAGTTTAGCAAGGCAAGGAGGAGGTAAGGAAAGCAGGCTGAAGATGGCATTAGAGGCACCCCTTCTTTTTTTAATTTAAAAAACTATGTCTTATTGGCATATATTTGACACAAAATTATACACATATTTAAAGTATACAGCTTAATAAATTTGAAATACTTATCACCTGTGAAAACATCACAACACTGCGGAGAGTAAATTTATCAGTCATTTCCAAAAATGATCAATGTGCTCGTTTGTAATCTTTCACTCCCCTCCCTAGTAGCATTGANACCATTGAGGATAATGTTTGCTGTGGGTTTATCATATGTGGATGTTATTATGTTGAGGATTTTTGCAACTATGCTTATCAGTGATATTGGCCTGTAATTTTCTTTCTGTGTGATGTCATTATCTGGTTTTAGTATCAAGGTATTGGTGGCCTCATAGAATGAGTTTGTACATGTTTCTTCCTCTGCAATTTTTTGGAAGAATTTAAGGACAGGCATTAGCTCTTCTCTAAATAGTTGACAGAATTCACTTGTGAAGCCATCTGGCCTTAGGCTTTTGTGTTTTGGGAGATTTCTTTTCACAGTTTCAATTTCAGTGCTTGTGATAGGTTGTCCATAATTTTCTATTTCTTCCTGGTTCAGTCTTGGAAAGTTAAACTTTTCTAAAAATCCGTCCATTTCTTCAGGTTGTCCATTTTACTGACATACAGTTGTTTGTAATAGTCTCTTATGATTCTTTGTATTTCTGCATTGTCTGCTGTGACCTCTCCTTTTTCATTTCTAATTTTGTTGATTTGAGGCTTCTCCCTTTTCTTAATGAGCCTGGCTCATGGCTTGTAAATTTTGTTTATCTTCTCAAAGAATCAGTTTTTAGTTTTATTAATCTTTACTATCATTTCCTTCATTTCTTTTCATTAATTTCTGCTCTGATCTTTATGACTTCTTTCCTTCTACTAACTTGGGGATTTTTGGTTCTTCTTTTTCCAGTTGTTTTACGTGTAAATTAGGTTGTCTATTTGATGTTTTTCTTATTTCTTGAGGTAAGATTGTATTGCTATAAACTTCCTTCTTAGAATTGCTTTTGTTGCATACCATAGGTTTTGAGTCATGTCTTTGTTGTTATTTGTTTCTAGGAATTGTTTTATTTCCCCTTTTATTTCTTCAGTAATCTGTTGGTTATTTAGAAATATATTGTTTAATCTGAATATATTTGTGCTTTTTACAGTTTTTCTCCTGTAATTAGTATCTAGTCTCATAGCAGTGTGATTAGAAAAGATGCTTGATACTATATCAATTTTCTTAAATTTACCAAGGCTTGATTGGTGATCCAAGATGTGGTCTATCCTGTAAAATGTTCCATGTGCACTTGAGAAGAAAGTGTATTCTTCTGCATTTAGATACAATGCCCTAAAAGTTTCAATTAGGTCCATCTGGTCTAATGTGTCATTTAAGGCTCATATTTCCTTATTAATTTTCTGTTTTGATGATCAGTCCATCGGCGTAAGTGGGGTGTTAAATTCCCCTACAATTATTGTATTACTGTCAATTTCCCTTTTTATGTCTGTTAGTGTTCGCCTTATATATTGATATGCTCCTATGTTGAGTGCATAAATACTTACAATTGTTATGTCTTCTTGGATTGATCCCTTCATCATCATATAGTGTCCTTCCTTATCTCTTCTATTAATAATATTCTTTATTTCATGGTTTATCTGATTTGAGAATTACTACTCTACTTTTCTTTTGATTTCCATTGGTATGGAATATCTTTTTCTATCCTCTCATTTTCAGTCTGTATGTGTTTCCAGGTCTGAAGTCAGTCTCCTATAGACAGCATACATATGAGTCTTGTTTTAGTGTCCATTTAGCCAATCTGTGTCTTTTGGTTGGAGCATTTAATCCATTTACACTTAAAAGTAATTATATATATATATATGTTCCCATTGGCATTTTCTTGTTTTGGGTTTGTTTTTGTAGGTTTCCTTCCCTTATGTTTCCTGCCTATATAAGTCTCTTTAACATTTGCTGTATGCTAAATTCTCTTAACTTTTGCTTGTCTTTAGCTTTTGATTTCTCCATCAATATTCAATGAGATCCTTGCTGGGTAAAGTAATCTTGGTTGTATATTTTTCCCTTTCAGAACTTTAAATGTATCCTGCCATTCCTTTCTGGCCTGCAGCTTCTGCTGAAAGATCAGCTGTTAATCATATGGAGTTTCCTTTGTATGTTATTCGCTGCTTTTCCCTTGTTGCTTTTAATACTGTGTTTAATCTTTGCTAGTTTGATTAGTATATGTCTTCGTATGTTTCTCCTTGGGTTTAGCCTCAATGGGACTCTCTGGGCTTCTTAACACTTGATGGACTATGTGCTTTCCCATGTTAGGAAAATTTTCAACTATAATCATTTCAAAAATTTTCTCAGACTCTTTCTTCTTTTATTCTTCTGGGACCCCTATAATTTGAATGTTGATGCATTTAATATTTGACCAGATGTCTCTGAGATTATCCTCTATTCATTTCATTCTTTTTCCTTTACTCTGCTCTTCAGCAGTTATTTTCACCATTCTATCCTCCAATTCACTTATCTGTTGTTCTGCCTCAGTTATTCTGCTATTGATCCCTTCCTATTTTTAATTTCAGTAATTGTTTTTTGTGTGTCTGTTTATTCTTTATTTTTTCTAAGTCCTTATCGAATGTGTTAACTGATTCTTGCATTTTCTCCATTCTATTTCCACGGTTTTGGATCATCTTTATTACCATTACTCTGAATTCTTTTCAGGTAGTTTGATTATTTCCTCTTTGTTTATTTGAGTTCCGAACTTGCTCCTTCATTTTTGCAATATTTCTCTGTCTTTTCATTTTTTTCTAACTTACTGGTTTGAAGACTCCTTTCCCCAGGTTTTAGGGTCATAGCTCTTCTTTTTAATCTCTGCCCTTGGTGGTTGAAATTGGTCCAGCAGTTTGGATAAGCTTCTTATTTGGAGGGACTTGTACCTACATTCTGGTGGGAGGAAGTGAGTTTTTTTCCCTCTGATGGGAAGGGCACTTCAGTGCCTTTCTGGGGAGTGTCTGTGGGAAGCCTGTCCGCTGATGACTGGGTTTATGTTTTCATCATGCTTCTTATTCGGGTGAGGCATCCTGCACTGTGTGTTGCCAGCAGTTAGGTGACATCAGGTCTTAGACAGAGGGGGAAGCCTTCATGGGAGTTCTCAGTAATTAGTACTCCCTGGGATCAGGAATTCTCTGGCAGTCTAGTGTCCTGGACTCAGTGCTCCTACTCCAGAGAGAGTTGCCCATTCTTAACAGTGTCCTGTACATAAGGCCCCCAGAACTGGACCAGTGGCAGATTCAGCCCCAATCTCCAGTTGGCAAATGAAGCCCACAGCCCCACCAACTAAGATTCTATTAAGTCACTGTATGGACTCTATTAAGAGGAAAGGGTCTCATAGTGCCCACAGGTGAGCATTCATGGTGAGAAATGGTGACTTATCATAGTAAAAACAGAAGTTCTCCATCCACATCAGCCCTAAGGACAAGGCCTAGGAAATTCAAAACAGAAAGGGCACTACAGTTCAGACAGAATGTAGATTTGGAGAGAAATTTGAAGCAAGATAAAGCCATAATCTGGCTCTTCCTTCCCCTCCACTTATATACCCAAGATTTGAAATGTAATATTTGAAAGTAAGAATGGACAGTCATAAAATACCCTAGGTCTTCAGCAAGTCAATTTCATGACAAAATTTTTTAGAGGGGAGATTTTCCTTAACACAAATCCACTTAAGAAATAAACATCATTCTTCAGATGTCAGATGACATGTCAGATGATGTTTATTTCTTAAGTGGATTAGCCTCGACTGACTAATCTGCACAAGTGGAAGTCAATGTGATAGTGGCTCAGTTGTGTCAACTCTTTGAGACTCCATGGACTGTAGCCCACCAGGCTCTTCTGTACATGGGATTTCCCAGGCAAGAATACTGGAGTGGGTTGCCATTCCCTTCTCCAGGCAATCTTCCCAACCCAGGTATCAAACCCCAGTCTCCTTCACTGCAGGCAGATTCTTTACCATCTGAGCCACTAGGGATCTGCACAAACGAACTGAAAAACATTTTGGGAACTATGAAGGCCAATTCAAATGAATTGGGTATTAGGTGACGTTAGAGAATTATTGTGAATATTGTTAGATAAGATCATGATATTCTGGATACAGAGAAAAACAAATCATTATTAAGAAATGAAGCTGAAGTGCGGAGAGTAAAATGACATAATTTGCAATTTTTTCTTAATGTTAAAACTTCAACAAGTTAATAGTATAAAGAAAGAAAGGTCTTGTGGAATAAAAGGAGACTGAAGAGATATTCAAATGCCATGTGAGGACCTTATTTAGACATTTTTGAGGCAATCAAGGAAATATGAATACTGATGAGATATTAGATGACATTAAAGAATCGATTTTAATTTTGTTAGGCTTAGGCTAAAGATAGGCTGTGCTGATACTCTCTGCAAATAATTGTTGCTGTGCTTAAAGAAGTTAAAATCTACAACTAACAGCATTTAACAGTGAGAAACTAGATGCTATTCCATTAAGATCAGAAACGAGGCAGGAATGTCACCTTTCACCACTCCTATTCAACATCATGCTGGAATTCCAGGCTAATGTAAGAAGACAAGAAAAAGAAATAACAGGTATACTGACTAGGAAAAAGAAATGAAACTGTCTTTTCTGAAGATGACTTGATTGTCTACGTGGTGGTGGTGTTCAGTCACTAAGTTGTGTCTGACTCTTTGTGACCCCATGCACTATAGCCCAAAGGTTCCTCTGTCCTTTCCAAGCAAGAATACTAGAACGGGTTACAACTGCCTTCTCCAGAGGATCTTCCTGACCCCAGGGATCAAGCCCAGGCTCCTGCATCGCAGGTGTATTCTTTACTGACTGAGCCACCAGGGAAGTCCAACTGTCTATGTAGAAAATCCAAGATTTCTTTCTAGAACGTGTGATTATATCAAAGCTTCAGGACACAAGGTTAATATACAAAAATCAACTGCTTTCCTATATGCCAGCCATGAACATATGTAATTTGAAATCAAAAACATTACAGTAGCATCCAGAAAAATGAAAATACTTAGATATAAATCTTTTAAAAATTTGTATAAGATATACATGAGGAAAACTACAAAACTCTGCTGAAAAAAATAAAAGATCTAAAACAATGGATAGTCCATATTATGGATAGGTAGACT